TTTTGTGGTTAAGACCCAGACAAACTTTAGTAGAAATTAAGCAAAATTTCAGCCAATGTCCTCTCAAAAAATTTACATAGAACTGCAATTGTTCACAGTAGCATACCGTGTTCTGAAAAAGCCATGAACTTCAAAATTCTACGGTTACTTTCATGGACTTTGCTTCATTTTCTACTTTTCTACTATTCTGGATGCTTTTTAAGTTCCATGAGGTTCATTACTCTTATTTTCCATAACCTTGATTTAAATACAATGTTGCCAGCACAAAGGTAAGTCTTGGCTTTTAAGTATTAGTGCTATGATTAACTCAGCAGAAATCCATCTGTGATACATCAAAGACTACACAGACCCCATTTTCTTGGTGAAAGATGGAATTTTTTAGTTGTAGAGGTGGTAGATGAACACTGCAATTTTTTATTCCACTTAGTAGCAACATATTAGTTACATTGTTCTCAACCTCGTGTCAGGAAATGTGCTGTTCGTATGACAATCAGATAGTCACTTGAAAGGTCTTTTAAAATATGAGAAGCAGCTGTCAGTGAAGAATTGTGACTATGCCACTAAGAATGAAGAAATGATGGATGCTTTTGTATGGGTAAAGAATGTTGAGAAGCTAATGCTATTTAAGGCAGGACAGAATAAAAAGGGATGTGATGTGACCAGCATGGGAATCTGCTGGTTATGTACCTTCCTACAGCACATTCTGATATCAGTGCATTCTGTCTGTGGTTGTGATGTTAATTCCTGTTAGAGGGTCCTGGTGACACATGCTTAACTTAATGAGAAATTTTCCTGTGGATATAGATGATTTCACTGGGGCTGAAAAATTTTCATCTTCCTGTAGCTGCAAGACTGTACCAGTCTTTGTGTGCTCAAAGTGAATCTCCACTGTTATTCTTTGAAATAAACACACAAGTTTCTGATTTTCCTTGCTTTTTCAATATGCATGCTAGACATGATTTTAGGTATAAAATGAGGATAAAAATTTATTAATTTATTATATGATCTCATTTGTCATCTAACTCTAGGACAAAATATCAGTGATTTAATTTCCTTCCAAAGTCTTTGTCTATCAGATATAGAACAAGTTAGTAATTACTTCTTAGTTATTGTGAGAGCTATGCCTTCAGTATTACATTCCTAATTGTTTTTAGATAAGGAAATTTATTTTTATAGCTCACCCAGCTGACTATTGCAGGCTACGTGATTCTTCATTTTCTTCAATGTAGATAGCAAGGTCTATAGATTATATTAAGAGAAATTAATGCTGTCCTTCTGGTGCATACAATAGGATGCATAAAAATTACTTGCCTGAGTACACAATATATTTTCATTTTATATGAGAAAATTTAATCCAAAATAAACATTTTTGATAAATATTCACAGAACACTCTGAGATCTCTAGTGTGCCTGAAAATTCCAAGAGCTTCATCATCAAATTAAAATTAGTTTTATGATATAACTGCGGGTGAGATTAACCCATCCTTTGTGTGGAACTATCATGTTTATGGTCCGGTCAATTGTGCAAGGAGAATTTGTATGTTTTCAACCACTAATTCACAAGTCTCTGGTTGGGAAAATTTTATTGCATGCCTTGAAGTAAGTTAAACACAGGCTTGTGCTTAAATACAGAAGATTTAATGTACAGTCTACTGGACAGTCTTATCACCATAAGCTATCCTACCTGGTGCATGCAGAGGTGCATTCCTTACGTACACATTCAGTGGTACAACTCCCATGATCATCAACCCATGGATCCATTCTCCATACCAGTTCTGCTGCCCAAAGGTGGCCTCTGGCCTTTGAGCACTTAGGTCCATGAGTGATGGATTGTTGCAAGAGCACTCTGCAATATGACTCATTCCCAAGGGAAACTTCCCTTCCTTAGAGTCCTTCTGTCCTGTCACTCCTATTCCATCGAACCAGTTCAACTTCTTCTACAGCTGGACCTTTTTGTCCTCCATGCCACGTGATTTTTTAGTCACAAATTACCAATTTTTGGCAGCTGCAGTTTCATTTTCTCCTTCACTCTTCTGTGTAGGCACACAAGCCTTCTAACTTGATGACTTTTGCCATCAAATTATTTGATTTATATATGATTTATATTTGATATGTATATATATGATGATTTATTTGATTTTTATATGATTTTCAGAGGATCAGCAAAATAGCAACTGTGGCAAAAGACTGTTCTTTCAGCAGAGAAGGAGGGCTTCCTTGCAATGTGGGGACACTAGAACTATAACATGACAGCCCTTGACAGAAATTTCTACTTAAAAACATAGGCTGTAAATCCTTCACCAACTGACTGTCATACTTTGGATACTTTATGATTCATCACAGTGCATCTTGTTCTGTCATTGATACACAGTTCAATGCCTCAACTCCATCACTGGAATAATTTTGTTTCTAAGAGGTATTCAGTCATAACTAGCAGACAAAAGAAAATCCACTCCATAGCCCATTGCTCCTTAGAATAAACTAATCCCACCACCTGAGTATTGATATATGTATCTGTCCTTTTGTTTTAAAAATTAGAATTTCTATGTTTGCATTTAAACAAACTGTACCAGAGAATTAATTAATAATTCTTGAGATGAAATAAATTGACTAGGTACATGAAGAACGTTGGTCTCTTGTGAGATAGTTCTAAACATATGAAAATTGTGATAGTTTTTTAATCAAATAAATATTTCAGAATATATGTACATTTCAATAAGTGATGTTCCTTAGTGAAATTTAGTGTAGTCATCTCTGAAGGTTGTCAGCTACTTTCTCATCAGTGATTAATGGAGGTGGTAGTCTTGGCTTCAATGTCATTGTGCTAACAATCCAAGAAATAAATCATTGTCAAAAATACAGTAATTGGACGATCAGGACCTGTGAGGTCACTGGTAATCTTTCTCTCTATTGAATTTGGCTAAGTACAAACCAAGTTGATGATTTTTTTAACATTAGCTGTTACATCAGCTGAAGTCTAAACCACCATTTCAATCTGAATGATTGAAGAGCATTTTTTAGATAGTATGAAATAAGAGTTGTGGAATTTTTGGAAAGAACATTATCAAAAGATCTGTTTTGGAATACTGACAAAATCAGAAGCCTGTCATATGTACAGCAGAAAGAAAGCTTTGCAGGAATAAGCTTGATAATACTTATGTTTATAAGGTGATAGAGACATGCATTCTATTAAGTATGAATTACAGCTAAAAAATTACATTCTTCTGCTCTATTTCACAGCTGGAGGGAATTTTTTTCATGCTGTTGCAAAAAATATCCATGTGTTTATCTGAATAATTCTAGTTAGAAGGAAGGTCTGCTTCCTTGAATGTAATGTATTTGTTTCAGGTTCATTTTTGAGACTATTAATTCAAATAATTCAATTTTAATTCTGTGTGGTTGTCGTTTCATTTTTTATTTTTTTAAATTTTATTTTTCTGCAACAATACTTATCTAAATTTGGTTTTTTGTATGCAGGTTAATTCAATTGAAAAAATTTGTCTGAAATTTCAGTGTCTTTAAACTTAAATTAATTGCTGACATGTTTACCTGTACAGGCAAATATATAATTAATGAGAAAACTATAATTTTGCTACACCAAAAAATCATTACTTATCTCTAATAAGACACAAGACAGGTTGTTAAAGATGAGGAAATATACTTTTCCTTGTGCTAGCAAATAAAGCAACTGCTGTAGAGACAAAGTTAATCTGATTCTTAAGCCACTGGGATGACTTTTACAGAGACCATTTAATGATATGAACATAAAGGAAATTTCTTGGGTTGTACAACTGTGTTTAGCTATAAAACCTGTGAAATTAGGGTGAATAGGATGGTTCCATTATCTATATTGTAATAAGGCAAGCTTTGTAGTACAGTAACAGTAGAGTAATTGGACTATAGCTTTATCATATTTCAAGGGTGGCAGTTAAATTCACAATTACAGACAATTGGATGTGGCAAGTCCAATATTTTATGAATCAATATATTTGCAAAGGGATGAGGAATAACCAAATATTTTCAGGCAGTATTTTAAAAATATATGCCAATGCAATATACATAAATATACAAGGCTGTATAGATTTACAGAAGTATCCATTTATAAATATACATCCAGAGTAGAACAAGGGATGGCAAGGACACACCATAATAGGAGTATTCTTCTCTCAAACAAACAAAAACAAAAACAAAACAAAAAAAAAAAAAAGCTGAATTGTCTGTTTGTTAACAGGGCTTTGATATCTTGAACTCAAGGGGCGAGATACTTAAATACAATAAATTTGTATAACTTTTCTGAAATCACTGCACAAATAGAAGAACAAAGGATATATCCCAATGATTATGCCACAACAGAGTATGAAACCATATGATGACATTTACCTAACATGTGCAAAACAAAAGTTAGGATGAGAAAAGGCTTATCAAGGCAAAAAAGTTTGCCTTGGCAAAATAATCTGTTCTGCCTATAATGCTTTGTCCAATGTGCTGACACTGGTAATCCAAAAGTCCAGTCATTACATTCTCCTTCATTCCAAAATAGCTGATTAAGAAGTTGGTTATAGGTATTTTTTTTCTGTCATCTGTGAGATTAGTATTTATTCTTGAACAGTTTGTTAGTTAACTGCTGCTGCAGTAAACATTGCTGCAGAGGGACTACACAATATTGTGGATAAAATAGTTGCTTTAGAAAATAGTTGCTTTAGAAAGGTTTCTTGCTAGGCGCACAATACAAAATTAATGGAAATCCAGGTAGGGAGGCTGGGCTGAGGAGGACTGGATAGTATAGTGAACATTCTTCTTGGGAAACTCAAAAAAGGAACTGAGGGACTGAACAAATTGCACTCATCTCTTGAAGGTAGCTGGGAATCAGACAGGAGCATGCTGCTAAGTACTAAGGGAGCTTGAAAACTGTGCTAAATAAAAGCTCTCAGAGGACAAGGATTTTTATCCTGAAGTGAATTAATTGCAATAGTTTCAACAGATGAATTTTATTTTCAAAGGTGCTGTGATTGTCTCCAGGACTTGAACCTCCTGTCTTAAGGTATGTTATTTATGATTTCCATAGTAAAAGAACTCAATCTGAGTATGCCTTCTATTGCTGTTTGTACATATGTTGTTGCAAGGCAGTTAAAAATTAAATTGTTTTTGGTCTTATGTTTGCAAATGTTAAAAATTCTTTTTCTCTATATGGAAAATGTGGGATGTATGTATATTTTGCTCTTTTGCCTGGCAAGTAGGTAACAGGTCATATATGTCATCATTCTTAAATGGATGAAATAGCTTAAAAAATGTATGGAATTATAAGTTTTGTTCTCTTTTGTGGTTTACATTTGTAAATAATGAGATCTGAAAAAGAAAGAAAAATGCAATCTCTGCATGATTATATTAAACTTTTCTTTACTAAGCCTTCATTTTGTCAATTGTGTATCAAAGGTCATATTCTTGTAACTCATGATCTGAGAACCTCATCTTTCCATTTTTTTATAAAGTAAGGTGTTAGATGCAACACTGGATGGGTAAAAAAAAGGGAAGGGAAGGGAAGGGAAGGGAAGGGAAGGGAAGGGAAGGGAAGGGAAGGGAAGGGA